AGCAATTAGGCAAGAGAGAGAAATAAAAGGGGTAAAGACGGGAAAAGAAGAAGTTAAATTATCATTGTTTGCAGATGGCATGATACTCTACATAGAAGACGCCTTAAACTCCATTGAAAGACTCTTAGATACATTAAATAAATTCAGTAATGTGGCTGGATACAAAATCAATACTCAGAAATCAATAGCATTCCTATACATGAACAACAAAATCACAGAGAGGGAAATAAGAGAAACTACACTCTTCACATTAGCAAGCAAAAAAATGAAATATTTAGGAATTACTCTTATGAAAGAAGTGAAAGACCTATACAGTGAAAATTATAATACACTGAAAAAAGAAATTGAAGATGATCTCAGAAAATGGAAAGACATCCCTTGCTCATGGATAGGAAGAACAAACATTGTGAAAATGGCCATTCTCCCAAAACTGGTATACAGATTCAATGCAATCCCAATAAAAATACCATCAACATCCCTTATAGATCTAGAGAAATCACTCCTAAATTTCATCTGGAACCAGAAGAGACCTAGAATTGCAAAGGCAATTCTAAGCAGCAAAGGCAAGGCGGGAGGCATCACAATCCCTGACTTGAAGTTATACTACAAAGCAACAGTAGTAAAATCAACATGGTATTGGATCAAAACAGAGCCTAAGATCAATGAAATAGATTAGAAGATACAACCACAACTAAAAACACATTCAACCACCTTATCTTTGATAAAGGAACCAAGCAGGTTCACTGGAAGAACAACAGTCTCTTTAATAAATGGTGCTGGAAAAACTAGCTTTCCATTTGCCAAAAACTAAAGCTAGACCCATGTCTATCACCATGTACTAAATTAAAATCTAAATGGGTCAAAGATCTGAATATTGAAACAGAAACACTAAATCTATTGGAAGAGAAATTGGGTAGAAACCTTGAAGACATAGGGGTAGGTAGAGAATTCATGAACAGGACTCAAACCACACAGGAAATACTTCCCAGAATCAATAACTGGGACCACTTCTTATTAAAAAGTTTCTGCATGTCTAAAGAAATCTCCAGCATGGTGAAAAGAAAACCCACAAACTGGGAAAAGATCTTAGTGAACTCTCTCTCGGACAAGGGACTCTTGTCTAAAACATATAAAGAATTTAAAAAAAACTCAGACCCCCAAAATTCAAAGATCCAATCCAAAAATGGGCATCTGAGATGAATACCCACTTCTCTGATGAAGAAATACAAATGGCAAATAAATACATGAAAAATGTTCATCATCACTGGTCATTAGAGAAATGCAAATTTAAACCACACTGAGATACCATCTCACTCCTGAAAGAATGGCTAAGATCAAGAAAACCAACAACAACAAATGCTGGAGAGGCTGTGGGGAAAAAGGAACTCTCCTACACTGTTGGTGGGAGTGTAGACTAGTGCAACCTTTGTGGAGGTCAGTCTGGAGATTTCTCAAAAAGCTGGGATTGGAAATCCCATTTATTCCAGCTATTCCACTTCTAGGCATATTCCCAGAAGAACTGAAACATCATACCACAGTGATATAAGTGCACCTATGTTTATAGCAGCACAATTTGTAATCGCCAGATCTTGGAAACAACCCAAGTGTCCATTAACTGAGTAATGGATAAAAAAGTTGTGGTATTTCTATACAATGGAGTATTATTCCGCTATAAAGAAGGATCACATTGAGATATTTATCAATAAATGGGCGCAGCTTGAGACCACAGTCATAAGTGAAATAAATCAACTTCGCATGTGTGAATACCAAATAGTTTCCCTAATGTAAGTAATGATTCAAATATATAAAAATATGTGGTAATCATGATTCCCCATTATGTGGCCTTGAAGCCTTATAAAGTTTTCACTTATTAATTGGAAAGGCTTTATTCTGGGCTTCTTGATATGGAAATATTTGAAGCTATAGTATATGAAGTTTTATTCAAATATTTCAAGGAAAAAGACAGACACTATGGTAATTACTATTAAGTCGGGTTATTTGGTGGTGAAGCACTAGGTTGCTGAAACAGTCATGCTTTGACCTGTATTGTTATATTGTTATGTCCTTTTTTATCTCAATCTCTGCCTTATTCATTAAAAAAATTATTTAGTTATTTTTATGGTTTTTTTAATTAAGGGAAAAAATTTTAAAAATTAGCAGGATATATAATAGTAACTTTTTTGATTTCCTATTAACTTGTTTTGAAGTCCTGTAATACTCCCACTATCTTGTTTTGATTGATTAGACTCTGTTCCATTCTGTATGATAGTATCAAGTTTGAGGGTATAGGCAACTACTTTGAAGGCAATAAGATTCACTAAGATGCCCAATCTGGTTTGACTATTATCTCCTTTGGAAGTCCTGTATTATTTACAAGGTTAAGTGTCATTGGTCTTGTTCTCTACTGTTTTGTTCAACTTTATAATACCTAATGAGATAGACACTTCTTTTTAAGGAAACAAGAGACATTGTTGATAATCATTGTTGATAACCTTGTACTCTGTTTTACCTCATGTGCTATGTCTATCCTTGGTTTTGAGTGACAGCTTTGTTTTGCCATATTTGACTTTATTCTCTCCCAAAAAAAAGTAATAAGAACTAAGGAGTAATAAAACCCAAAATGTGTAAATTTTATTGTAAAAAAGGAGGGAAAAAAGTGCTCTAAAGGATACAACAGCAAGTGTGTTTAGGGGTGTTAAATAGCTGACCATATTAATGTTTTTGGTTGGATCATTGAACACAACTGTTTGCAGTCTCACTGTTAGAGTGCCCACTTTGTATGCTTTGATGCTGTGACTTGAGCAACTATCTCTAAGATGATAATATGTAATCTATTAACTGGTGATTTGTTACTTTTTTTTGTAGTTCTGTATTACTTGTACCCTTACACCGCTTTGTTTTGTTTTTGTTCTCTTTTTTCTTTTAAGTAAAATTTTTTTAAAAAAAGAAAGAAACAGAAGCACGGCATTGAGTGTTCCTTAAAATGTCACTTCTTTGCTTGTCTTGGCCTTGGTTTATCTGGACATCTCAGTTTCAATTATGTGACTGATTCCATCATAGATCACAGCTGAAAATAGGCCCTGAGGAACAACTTTTATCCTGTGCCTTTTGATTTTGTGCCTCTACCACACATCATCCCAGTTTTACAGAGAAATCAAGGGAAACATACTGATTGCCATTTGCACATCATAATACAGGTCTTAACTAAATTTAATAACTGTTGACATAAACCAAGTAGCAAACTTTCTGGCCTTATCAATCTTGGGGCTCAGGTTAGTTTTATCTGTGTATCCCAGTGAGTTTAAGCAAAGTACTTGTTCTAATCTTAGGAAAGTCTCTGTGCATAAAGTAGAACGAAAAAGAGTGTGGTTCATCATAGCCTTAATTCCAAATAGTCAAAAACCAAATCCCACATGGTCACAGCACATTGGTGTAAAATATCCCCTGGTGAGCATGGACATCCAGACGCAGTGAATACTAATTAAAATTAAATAAGTCTTTGGTATTTAGTCATACCAATAAAAAGAGACATGATAGACCTTCTCCCTAATCTTGGTTAAAATATTTACTATGACCCAATGTGAATTAAAACAGAATTTTTGAGTACTGAAGCCCATTATTCAAGACATATTCAGAGAAGGGGCAAGTCTCCATCTAACAATCTAATTTAGTGCATCCTTAAAATTGGAAAGAATGATTAGCATCTCATGCTGACTTATCACAACCTTATTGCTGTGGCTCCACTCATTAAGGTCCTACTACCCAGTACGATTAGACTGATTCCTCCCAATAAATAAATAAATGGTAAATAATTCTCAACAATAGAGAGGCTAAAATGTTCTATTCAGTGCCTATTACAACAAATTCCCAGTAGTAGTTAGCCTTCACTTCCAACAGGAAACTGTACCTCTTTGGGGTTATCTAGGGGGTCCTATAATAGCGCTGTCATGGCACAATTTTGCAGACCTAATTGCAGCCAACTTTCGCTAGTAACATGGTTATGGCATGATATTCATGGTGCCCTTTCCTAAGGGCATGCATTAAATACACTTATTCAAAATAGTCAAGTATTCACGCAAGAGATCACAAAAAAGGACTGGAATGTCACTCCACACATAATACAGCCTCACCACTTCAGTTAAATTCATGAATATTATTTGTCAAGCCCAGCACTGCTCCATTCTCAATCATTTTGAGAGATAGCTATTGGCTCAACACTCACAAGATTAAAATGAGTTTAATATCTTGAATTATGGAAATAAAATGATTTGAATTTACAAATTCTGCTTAAACTTAAGTATGTTGTTTTCCATATATCAGCCCACCACGAATAGAATACTTTCTGGAAAAAGAATCCAAAATCTGTTCAAACTGTGATACACAATAGGCAGTTCCAATAATGTACTGCCCATACAGTGCTTTACATACAGAGGTCTAAACAAATATTTAATGTCTTCTGAAGTCTCTAGGACATCTATGATAGTAATTGTCTACAGATTTCTGATGCAAGAAACAACCTTGTTCAGCACCTTCTCCATACATCATTAGAATGGCAATTGCTGCCAAATCCAGGGATGATATGAAAATAGCACTCATTAGTTCTAAACCTGTGACTGTTCATATCCATTTTCCCACTATCCTTTCATTCCTGGAAGTAGCACCCTGCTATCTCAGCCAGGGAGGCCTCCTTGCCACAAGATAGAGCCAAACCTAGGCTGCCTGCTGCATCCCACCTGTAAGAAAGATTGACCTCTCTATCCTTATGTGGGCAATAAATGTCCTTACATATTCTTAGTACATTAGAAGAAACTAGGCTTCTTAAATGAAATCACGTGTGCTACAGAACTGACACTGTAAGTCTGCCCAAGTTTTACATACGAGGCAAATTTGGTGAGAAAGAAGATCTATGTCACTCTGCAGCATGACAACATAATCTCTACCCTTCATCCTACCAGAATTAATAAAGGAATCTGTGGCTAAGGCACTAGAAATCAGACTAATTTAAAAGCAAATTTCTTTTTTTATTTTAAAGAGGGTAAAATTAGACAGAACAAAACAGATCATAAGGAAACAATTTTTAAAACACAGATTTCAAAGCAAGACCACTGGAAATATTCATTGTCTATCATGTTGTCCACTTTTTTCTTCCATATAGTTGTCCATATCTTCACACACAGTGAATTCATCCCCCTAAAAATAGTACAGGATCCCCCTAAAAATCAGAACAGGATGATGAAGGCATTTTAGGTCTTCAAGATCAGACAATAGAGACGTCAACAATGGCTGCAATAGTGTCTCTCATTCTCTTCAAAATAGCTGTCCATATCTTTGTGTATGTTGAAATTAAACAAAAGAAAATAGACTAATATCACTTTGGACAGAGAATAATAGTATTGCTAGATTTTATATCATGACACTATGGAATTAGCACTGGGTATCTTAGTGTCTCTTTTTCTTCAGAGTCTCTGTTCATTACATCATACATTATATAATCTATTCTTGTAAACTGTTTACAGCTATACATGCGTGAATCTCTACATGTATGCCTATCCTTTCTGTATTAAAGGGAAAAACAAATCAAAACAAGACAAAACAAATTACTAGAAAAACATGAAACAAAAAAGACATAAAACCACAATACTAGGTCATCTACAGTATTTACTATGATTTCTCTTGCTGTTTTCAATAGAATTGTCTATACCATCAGGCATAATATAATTGAAAATAGCACTACATAGCAATATTAATAAAAACAAAACATTGGAGACATTACAGGACTTCAAAAGCAGTTAATAATCAAAGCAGAATAGGTATCCTATTGCATCTTGTCATCTTCAGAGTAGTTGCCTCTACTCTTAGACTTGATATTATCAAGCATACCAAATTCTAACAAAATCAGTCAAGACAAAACAGCAATATAACAAACCAGATTCAAATAATATCAGTCATAGTAAGACAGTATAAGTAATACAGGGCTTCAGGTAAAGTTAATAGGCAATTAAGGGTAGATACCATTGTATATCTGATATTTTTGGGATAGCTGTCTGTGTCCTCAAGTCTAGTATGAGACTGGAACAGAATAAAATCAAACTAAACAGAGTGATAAATCTAATGTGGCTTTTAAATCCTGATGTACTATTACCAATGTCCTCTACCTTCCTTTTTTAGACAATTCCTCCCCTTTCCCTTTCTCAGGGTGCTTTGTACATTTTGGGTCCCACTAACTCCTTTAGTTTTTAGATGAGGGGGGTAACCCACATCTACCAAGGTGGTTCTGAACCTTTTTATTCCTAAGCTAGATCTTGAGCTGTATTCCTTGACCTACTAGCAACTCAAGGTTTTAGCTCTGTAATTCTCCACTGCACAAAAGTGTCATGACTTTCCAACCTATCTGCAGCTGGACAAGTTGTCCCTATTTCTCTCTAGTTCCCTGTCACATACAGCATTGTTTTGCTCATCTTTGACTTTTGGTTCATTAACTCTCTTTCAGGTAAATTATATTTCCTATTCAGAGCATCTCAATGGACCCTATATTCTGATCTACTCTGCCTGTGTTTCTTTTTGTTAGTGTACCAAAGCCATCCATGTTAGAGATTATAGCCAACCTTCTCTGCCTCATCTCTGCTATGCTATTTTTCTGCTGTTGTTTGTCTACTTTTCTCCTTCATTCCACTGTCTGCCTCATTCATTGAGGCCTCTCTGCCACTATTGCTGGAATCCTGGTGATTTTCTTCTCTCTCTCTCCAGAATGTCTTCAGTATTTTTTGTAGCACTGGATTGGTGTTCACAAACTCCCACACTTCCTCTTTGTCTTGGAAACATCTTGTTTCTCCATTAATTTTGGGAAACAGTTTTTCAGAGTATATCAATCTGGGTTGGAGGTTATTTTCTTTGAGGGCTTAGAATACTTCACTCCAGCTCTTCTTGATTTGATAGTTTATGTCAAGAAGTCTGTCATGATTTTGATGGGTTTTCCTTTATAGGTGATCTGTTTCTTTTCTCTGACCACTTTTAATATTCTGTTCTTGTGATAAATTTCTGTGATCTTATTATGTCTGGGTATAGATCTGTTTTGGTTTAGGTGGCTAGAGTTCTGTATACCTCATATATCTGACTATCATTTCCTTTTCCTGTGCTTGGGAAGTTTTTCTTAATTATTTCTGTGAATAGCCTTTGTATTTCATTTGTGTTTACCCCTGCTTCTTCACTCACATTTTTTATTCTTAAGTTATAGATCCTCTTGTCATCTTCTAGCCTTTGTATTGTTACTTCCTGGCTCCTTGTTATTTTTAAGAGATCTTTCCTTTCATGATCACACATTGCAAATCTCTATCCTCAAGGTTTGAAAGTCTAACTTTAGTTTCTGTCAAGGCATTTTGCCAGCTTTCAAAGGAGTTTTTAATTTCCTGGTAATCTCTTTGGATCTGTTTCATGTATTCTAGATTTTGTTTATATTCTTCACCAAAGGTTTCTCTCCTTTTTCTGGGTTCCTCCATTCTTTCATCTGTGTCTTCTTGAGAGGTGATTAGCATTTCTTTTATTAATCTTTTTATATCTTCCCTCACTTGAATTAGAATTTCAGTTTTAAATTTGTCTATGAGGTTGCAAAGGTATTTCTTTATGTCCACTGATGCTGTGTCCAATATTGCATGTTTGCTGCCCTCAATCTCTTCTGTATTTACCTCTCCTGGACTTACTTTCCCTGGGTCAGTGGCTGGAGGCTTTTTTTGTTTCTTTCTCTTGTCATGGTTCTGGTTTCTTTCAGACAGGTGTATGGTGGAGGTATCAGGCCCTTTCTACATTGCTTACAGTTTTTCTGAAGTGTCCTGGCTAGGGGATTGCTGCTCTCTCCAGTTTGCTCTTGATCTGTGAGGTGCATGCAGGGATGTGGGCTGGCCCCTCTCCTCTGAGCCAGTCAACCAGCAAGTGCCTTTAGCACGTTAGGCTGTGGCATGCGAATGTCACAGGTTCAGGAAGGTTTTGTCCCTGGCTATTGGGTCCCAACCAAGGATGTGACCCAGCCCAAGCAGACCCCACCAGTCCTCTTTGAGCCTCTTTGAGCAGCTGACTGATGCCACTAGAATTCCTGGTTCAGGCCTGTCCTGCCCAACTCCGATACATCGTCTAGCCAGTCACCTCCTCTGCCTGACCCAATTCCTAGCACTCCACATGGGTTAATGCAGCTCTCCACATTGGTTCCAGTCTCCATTGTGCCACATCCTCACGCCTTGGGCTCACCAACCTGTGATGTCAGCAATGCTGCGATTTCAGCATGACCGTGAGTCATCTGACTTCAAGGTGCACCAGCACAGAAAGGGACCAGCTCCAGTGAGAGTGTCTGGTTCCAGCCTTTCATCCATATTTTTCCTTCCTTTCTTTCTTTTTTTCTCTTTTTCTTTTTCCTCAGTTTCTTCCTGGGTCGTGAGAATCCCTCTCCTTTCATCTGGTCTTGTCCATGGTGTTAAATTTTAGCATCTGAATTGTTTTTCTCAAAGTGGCTCTTTTCTCTGCTACCTATCAATCCACCATCTTCCTGGAATCTCCTTTTAAAAAAAGCAAATTTCTTAGAGATAAACATTCATTCATAAAAAATGTCCAAAAATTTCATCTGCAAGCTGAATAATATTATAATAATTTTGGAATAAATTGAACAAGAAAAATACATGACTGAAATAAAGAAATCATAGTTTAATCAAAGTAGTTTATAAGTAGATATAAAACTAATTCTGAGTGAGATGTGACAATACACACTTATAATCCAAGCACTCGGGAAGCTGAGGTAGGAGGATCACTGTGAGTTCAAGGCCAGCCTGGACTATTTAGGGAGACTATCTTAAACCTATAGTTAAAGAGGGATGTAGCTCCCTAGCAGAAGTGCTTTCTTGGCATTCACGAGTCTTGAGTTCAATCCACAGTACTGCAACAAAAATAATAATAATAATAATAATAATAATAATAATAATAATAAAGCAGTAGTTTATTGTGATAAGAACAGTGAGAACAGTGGAACAGAATTCAGAAACAGCTACAGGCTATTGTGGGAATTAAAATAAAGCAAAATAATGCTTAAAGTCAGTGGAGAGAAAATGCTTCAGTGTTGTCCTATAGTCCAGTCATTTCTACGTCTTGACCTCTGTGGCACATCTTGAGAATTATAACATTCGCATACTCACAGGGGAAAATTGAAAGGCATGCTTGCAGACCAAGGAGTTGTAGCCCATATGCTACAGCATACTGCCTGGGGAGCTCTGAGTAAGGAGGAAGACAGCATCATTGGCCTCAGCTTGAAAAAACAGTATCATTGCATATTATCTTCAAAGTTAAATTTCTTGTAGATTAAGGATTTTAATTTTAAAAATTAAAATATGAAAATGTCAACATAAAATTAGTGATGAAAATTACCATTTTGGTATGGGAAAACTAAGTTAATTGTTCCTTAAAAGATTATAAAACATAACACAGACATATTTTTTAAACAAAAATTAAACATTTTGATGGCAAAATATTCTATGCCAGAAATAAAAGACAAGACTAGGAAAAATATTTCCAATACAAAAACAGAAAAGGTATTGTTACGCTTGAAATTTTTAAAAAATCCTACTAACCAGTCAGTGTTTTACAATTGCATTCATGAAAATTTATATTTACAGTAACTATAAAGTTACAGCTCACCCCGAGGGAAGGGTCACATTCTGAGTAATACTCCCAGCTTTCCCCTCAGCCCTTGAGAGGGGATCATGAGCCTATTTACCAGCATCAAACCTGTGCTTATACTTGAAAACCTCACTTGATTCTCATTGCTCTCGCTGTCAGCCAGAAATTCTGACTGGAGAAGTAACTGTTGACGAGTTGACTATGAACTCCTGATCATGCACCCTTGTTCGCAAGTGTCTGCACACCCTTGCTGCTACTTCCCCATCTTACAGATCATGCTCAGCCGTATAAGTTGCTTCTTTACATCAGTGCTGTATTCACTTCACTGAGAAGAATAAAGTGACACAGATAAAACACTCCAATTACCTCCTCTTTTAAGAAGTTTGTATCTTCCTGGATAATGTGTAGGAAAAAGGGTCCACCTTTTTCCAAAGCTCACCCTTACCTGAGGGGATTATTGAATACAGATCTTGAAGCTTATTCTATTCATTTGATCCTCCTTGAGCTTCTTTCTTAAAACATAACCAAGGCATCCCATTTATAAAACAATTGCTCAACCCCATAATTAATAGCAGCAGATCTAACTACGTAGCTGCAGTTATAATTAGCCCTTAGATTGAAATTTATACTTCTGAAGTTTTACCTACCATTGCCTCTTTGGGATCATGAAGTAAAAGTCAAATTCCAACCCTTTGATGTTCCAATATTTATACAAAATAATGATTATCCCACAGAGTCATCTCTCGTCCCAGAATCTAAACCACTAATTCCATTGTTTTTTTTTATATGACCTGACTTGAATAGCTTTAAATCATGAATACATTGTGTATTGTGGCTTAGGTTTCTCAAAATGTAGTATGTGTCCAACTCCTGGCACATGGATAAACATTTTGAAGAGTTTTGGTTTAAATCAACATGAAACAAATGTACACAACTATAGTACCACATTAAACCCAAAACTTCATAGATTTTGTTATATAGGAAGAAAGTTCAGAATATGATTCATTATAAAGAAAATATTTTTAAAATAATATTTAGATATGACAATAGAAAAGGTGGTAAACAGTGACTAAAGTTTGGGAGAACTTGGATTTTAGTCTCAACTTTATTTTACCACTTTCACTTGTGTGGTATTTTTCCACTTGGAAAGTAGCCATCACCATTTTCTCAGGATGATGTGAGGATAGCATGGTATATTGGTCATTTCTCCATCACTGGGACAAAATATTCATTTTAAAGGAGAGAGGTTTATTTTGGCTCACATTTTTTCACATTCAATCCATGATCACTTGGCTCCAAGGCAGTAGCGGCATGGTGAAACAGAATGGGAAATGAAATCTGCTCAATCTATGGCAGCCTGGAATCAGAGAGGGAAGGGAGGAGTCAGGGATAAGAATATACCATTCCAAATCACACCCTCAGTGACCCATTCCTCCATCCAGGTCCCAACTCCTAACAGCAATTGAACTACTCAATGGATTAACCCATTGATAAGTATAGTATCCTTATGATTTGATCACTGTCCAAAGCGGCTACTTTGCACATGAGTTTTGGAAATACTCTAGATCTAAACTCTAACACTGTAAACTATGGTCTCCCTGGCAATGCTCAGCAGAATCATTCTGAACACATTACACATTGTTACATACTTCAAGCACGCCCACAAAGTTTTTCACAGGAGAAGCAGCTGGGTGAGACATCCGAAATCGGGAACGCCTATATTTCTGATTTTTTATTTGAATTTATTTCTGAAAATAATTTGTTTGAGTCTTCAGCATCCTAATGCACAAGATATGTCTTTCCTTGTAGACATAGGAAAGTCTCATACTTTTGTTAGTTACTATAGAAAAACTGTGGGCCGCGCCTGGCCATCGGTCTGCAGAGGAGGACCTGGGCAGATCTGGGGTGCCCTCACCGGCCTCTCTGTGTGTCTGGAGGACTCTGGATATCTCCGCTCAGACTGTTGGAGTCCCCCCAGGCTTCCAGGTGCAGTGAAGGGGAGAGGTGGGTTTGAGGCTTCCACATCAGCCTCCCCATTTCGGCTTCACTTGGAGAACTGCTGAGCTGCCGACGGGTGGGCGGGCCCACACTATCAGCCTAGCCCAGCCTGTTTAGCTGCCGCGCCTGGCCATCAGTCTGCAGAGGAGGAGCTGGGCAGATCTGGGGTACCTGCATCGGGCTCTCCATGTGTCTGGAGAACTGTGGATATCTCTGCAACCAGGGAGGGTCCACAGGTTCCTGAGGCACTGCGGCCTGTGGTGAGTACCCTAACCCGGCTGCAATTGAAGAACTGTGGAGCTTCCAAGGGGCAGGTGGGCGCACAGTGTCCCTGAGGCCCAGCTTGTCTGGAACTGCGGAGTTCTGAGCAGGCAGAGGAGGGCCACTGGTTCTGTAGGCCCAATGGCTTGGCGTAGCGCGGTGCCAGAGTCTCAGTAGCTCGAAACATAGAAGGGGATTTTCAACAGATCCTGAGGAAGCTTTCAAATAACACTTGAAACACAGAAATATAGGAAAATGACAAAACGAAAAACCAAATTACAACCTCAAACCTCCAGCCCATTTCAAGGAACCCTAGGAGCGATGTATATAGAAGAAAATATATCCCATCCACCTCATATATCGGACACAATAGCTACTGAAATTGACAAGAAAGTCCAGGAAGCTTTAAAGAAATTCAAACTCGAAATAATCTCCCAGATAAAAGAAGAAATGATAAAAGAAATGAAAGAGATTCTAAATACATCTAAAGAAAACACAGATAAAAAATTGGAGGAACTAAACAAAAAGATAGAATCCCTAGACAAGCAATATAAGAAACAAACAGAATAAATAATGCAGATGCACAGAGATATACAGGAAATAAAAAATTCCACTGAAAGTTGTAAAAACCGCCTTAATGAAAGTGAAGATAGAATTTCAGACCTTGAAGACAGGATTGCAGCTAGTGAACAGGAAAGGAAAGATCTTTTGAAAATAACAAGGAATCAGGAAACAACAATTCAACAACTGCAAGACGATGCAAAGAAGAATAATATAAGAATGATAGGGATTAATGAAAGAGAGGGAGACAACATGAAGGATGTCAGGAGGATATTTAGAGAAGTAATAGCTGAAAATTTCCCAAACATGAGATCAGAAACTGACATCAGGATCAGTGAAGCATATAGAACTCCAAACAGTCATAACCAAAATAAAACTACACCCAGACATATAATAATCACCATCCCAGAAATCCAACACAAGAATAGATTATTAAAAGCTGTCAGAGAGAAAAGACAGATCACTTATAAAGGAAAACCTATCAGAATCACAGCAGACTTCTCAGCACAAACGATAAAGTCAAGAAGAGCATGGAGTGAAGTATTCCAGATCCTAAAGCAAAATGATTTCCAACCTAGACTGATATATCCTGCAAAACTATCATTCAAAATAGATGGTGCAATACGATACTTCCATGACAAAGAACAGCTGAAGAACTTCATGAACACCAAACCAACCCTGCAAAAAATATTGAAAGACAGTTTAGATACACAAAGGAAAAAACCACTAAGCAAAGCAAATAATTAAACAGAACAGAAAGATAAAGATGCAACACCAGAGAGATAACATGTCAACAATAAACCAGCATTTAACAGTAATAACCATTAATGTAAATGGTCTCAATGCACCAATCAAAAGAAACAGACTAGCAGAATGGATCAAGAAACAAAATCCAACCATATGCTGTTTACAGGAAACCCATCTAACCCAGAAGGATACTCACAGACTGAAAGTCAAAGGATGGAAAACAATTCTTCATGCAGCAGGAATCCAAAAAAAGGCAGGAGTAGCCATTCTGTTTGCAGACAACGTGAACTTTAAACCAACAATGACAAAAGGACAAAGAAGGTCACTACACACTCGTTAGGGGAAAACTCCAAGAGGAAGAGATAACTATCTTAAATATATACGCACCAAACTCCAGAGCACCCAGTTATATAAAACAATTATTAACAGAAACGAAAACTCAAATTATCAGTAACACAATTGTAACAGGAGACCTTAATACACTACTGACACAAAGGGACAGATCAACCAGACAGAAAATGAGCAAAGAAATAACAGAACTGAATCACACCTGCGAACAAAGGGATTTGATAGACATATACAGAATGTTCCGCCCAACAACATCAGAATACACATTCTTCTCAGCAGTACATGGATCATTTTCTAAAATAGACCACATGTTAGCTCACAGAACATATTTAAGCAAATGCAAAAGAGTTGAAATCATCCCTTGCATACTATCGGATCATAGCGCTCTGAAATTAGAAATTAATGATAAAAGATACTGCAAAAATTCCGCAAACACATGGAAACTAAATAACACACTCTTGAGTAATCAGTGGGTCACAGAAGAAATTAAACAATACCTAAAAGAAAATGACAATGCAGATAAAACTTACCGGAATCTGTGGGATGCAATGAAAGTCGTTCTGAAAAGAAAATTTATTGCACTGAGTTCCCACATCAGGAAAACAGAACGAATACAAATAAATAACTTGATGCTACACCTCAAACAGCTAGAAAAAGAAGAGCAAGTCAAGCCCAAAGCCAAAAGAAGAGAGGAAATTATAAAAATCAGAGCAGAAATCAATGCAATAGAGACTAAGAAAACAATCCAAAGAATCAACGAATCAAAGAGTTGGTTCTTTGAAAGAATAAATAAAATCGATAAGCCCCTAGACAACCTTATTTAAAAAAGGGAAGAAAAAGCTCAAATTCATGCAATAAGAAATGAAAAAGGAGAAATCCCTACAGACCCAATAGAAATACAGAGGATCATCAACACCTATTTCGAAAACCTCTACTCTCAAAAGTTTGATAACACAAAAGAAACAGACAGATTCTTAGAAGCATATGAAGTACCAAAGCTAGATCAAGAGGATATAAAACTGTTGAATAACCCAATCCCTGCTAATTAAATTGAAAATGTAATTAAGTCCTTACCCACCAAGAAGAGCCCAGGCCCAGATGGATTCACTGCAGAATTCTACAAGAAATATAAAGAAGACCTAATGCCGACACTCCTCAAACTATGCAATGAAATTGAAAGGGAAGCAATCCTTCCTAAGTCATTCCTGGAAGCAAATATTACTCTAGTACCAAAACCTGAGAAAGACCCAACTATAAAAGAGAACTATAGACCGATCTCCCTAATGAACACAGATGCAAAAATCCTCAATAAAATATTGGCAAATAGGATCCAGCAAATCATCAAGAAAATTATACACCATGACCAAGTGGGATTCATCCCAGGAATGCAAGGATGGTTCAACATACGCAAATCAATAAATGTAATCCACCATATCAATGAAGCCAAAAATAAGAATCACATGATCATTTCTATAGATGCAGAAAAAGCCTTCGATAAGGTCCAACACTTATTCATGATAAGAACTTTACAGAAAATTGGAATAAATGGTCTTTACCTCAATATTATTATATTGAGGCCATTTATGACAAACCAACAGCCAGCATCATACTAAATGGCCAAAAATTGAAAGCCTTTACTTTAAAATCGGGTACAAGACAAGGATGTCCTTTATCACCACTCCTATTTAATATAGTACTGGAAGTACTAGCCAGAGCAATTAGGCAAGAAAGAGAAATAAAACGGGTAAAGATAGGAAAAGAAGAAGTTAAATTATCATTGTTTGCAGATGACATGATACTCTACATAGAAGACCCCCTAAACTCCATTGAAATACTCTTAGATACAATAAATAAATTCAGTAATGTGGCTGGATACAAAATCAATACTCAGAAATCAATAGCATTCCTATACACGAGCAACAAAATTACAGAGAGGGAAATAAGAGAAACTGGACTATTCACATTAGCAAGCAAAAAAATGAAATATTTAGGAATTACTCTTATGAAAGAAGTGAAAGACTTATACAGTGAAAATTATAATACACTGAAAAAGGAAATTGAAGATGATCTCAGAAAATGGAAAGATATCCCTTGCTCATGGATAGGAAGAACAAACATTGTGAAGATGGCCATTCTCCCAAAACTGTTATACAGATTCAATGCAATCCCAATAGAAATACCATCAACATACCTTATAGATCTAGAGAAATCACTCCTAAATTTCATCTGGAACCAGAAGAGACCTAGAATCGCAAAGGCAATTCTAAGCAGCAAAGACAAAGCAGGAGGCATCACAATCCCTGACTTGAAGTTATACTACAAAGCAACAGTAGTAAAATCAACATGGTATTGGAATCAAAACAGAGCCGAAGATCAGTGGAATAGATTAGAAGATACAACCACAACTACAAACACACTCAACCACCTTATCTTTGATAAAGG